GTTACACCTGCAAAATTCCTTCACTTTTACCATATAATGTTACACCTGCAAAATTCCTTCACTTTTACCATATAATGTAACATAATCACAGACGTGATATCCCATCATATTCACACATCCTGCCCACACTCAAGGGAAGGGGATTATACAAGGTTGTGTACATTAGGGGATGAAACTTGAGGGAGGGTGGCATTTTATAATTCTGCCTATCACAGGCTATGATTATTGAAGATGTAGAACAAGACATTGCCTTCACCTCTGTTTTGGGTCTCATTCCCTCCGACCTCCTCAAGGACCATATCCTATCAGTCACACAAGTGTGCATACAGGTAAGTTTGGAAGTAAGGGGTGGCATTTTATAATTCTGCCTATCACAGGCTATGATTTTTGAAGATGTAGAACAAGACATTGCCTTCACCTCTGTTTTGGGTCTCATTCCCTCCTACCTCCTCAAGGACCATATCCTATCAGTCACACAAGTGTGCATACAGGTAAGTTTGGAAGTAAACAACCAGGAGCATCTTCCATTTCTTTTTCAAGTTAAATAAGTTGCCTTGCTTAAGAACTGATTTTAGCACATCCTTGCAGTGTTTCACATGACTACTCCACACTTGTCTACTATGGGTACATTTAATTGTAAACAAGCTATTTGAGAATTAACAGGACAGGGTGTTTTCACAGATGTTAAGGTGGCCAAAAATATTTCTCTTTCCAACTGCATGTGATCAGAAAGCTGCATCTCTGCATGAAGATGATATAGAGAGAATTATATTGAAGTTCTAAGATAATTTTTATCTCAGTCATTACAGTTAGAACCCATGTGATAGTTTCTCTCCCTTCCACCCTCCCTCCCTCCCTTTCTCTCTCTCTCTCCCTGTCTTTCCTTCTTTCTGTTGGTCTGTCTTTCTGTCTTACATAAAGTACAGTCATCCCTTGGTAACCGTGGGGGATTGGTTACAGGACCCCAGTGGATACCAAAATCCATGGATGCTCAAGTCCCTGATATAAAATGGTATAGTATTTGCATATAGCCTATTCACGTCCTCCTGTAAACTTTAAATCATCTCTAGATTACTTATAATGCCTAACACAACATAAGTGCTATGTAAAACGTTGCTATACTGCATTGTTTATGGAATAATGACAAAAAAAAGTCCATACATGTTCAGTACAGATGCAATTTTTTCTTCTGAATATTTTCAATCCACAGTTAGCTATCCACAGATGTGGAACCCATGAATACAGAGGTTTGATGGTATGTCTCTGGCTTTCCTCTAGAGAAGGAGGAAAAGGAAGCATTAACTTTATGTTCCTCCAGTTGGGTTATAGTCTGTAAATTAATCCCCTCCACAGGAAGATATTCCCAAATGAACACAGTTACCTTGGAGGAAGCAGGGCTAATTTACCTCCCTATTATGGATACAACTTGGGTGCCATACCCTGAATCTAAGAAACACAAATTGATACTGATGTAAGCTTTTTTTTTTTTTCCTTTTTGTCTTTTTTCGTGACCGGCAATGGATCGCAACCCTCAGTGTCGCACCCGTACCGGACCGGGACCGGCAACGGCAACGGGATCACAACCCTCGGT